AATTGATGTTTTGGAAGTGGTCAATACCTCACCGAACATAAAGAAAAGAAGAATGACTAAGAAGCCCTGAGGAACACATCTTCTAAGGAATCATTAAAAGAGGGGGGAGCCAGCAGAGAAGACCAGCTAGAGAGGCTGGGAGACGACCAGGAGGGCCAGTGACAGAGCCAGTGGTTAGAAGCTTTCAAAAAAAAAAAAAAAAAGACATGTGCAGCAGTGGCCAAAATTGCTGATAACAACTGATGTTTTCCTTTAGGATTTAGTGACACGTGGCCTTGTCCAGTGAAGGGACATAGTCAATTTCAACGAGTTCACACACAAGTAAGGGATGAGGAAGTGGGGCAGTGAGTGCAGAAAACGAAAATATCTGTTGTAAACTGGAGTTTAGGGACGCAGTGGGAACTGTCAGGAGAGGTATGGCTAGGGAGAAATACAGTTGTTGCTTGTTCTTTGGAAAGAAAAGGGTTGAGAATGTTTCAGTGTTCACAGAAATTATCCCATAAAGAAAGAAAGGCTGAAGGAAACAAGGGAGGAAGTATTCACTTGATAGTTTAGTCCCTAAGAAGGCAGCCAGAGGTAATAAATACATAAATAAATAAGTAAATAATTCACTATGCTTTTTTTTTTGTGTACAGAAGCTGTCCTAGGACCATTATCTCATTTGACTCTTATGCAGCCTCTCTGAGAAGTTCCATTATTATTAGCCCATTTCTTCGAGATGTGGAAACTGAGGCACAGACAGGTACCAAGGCCACCCAGTACATGGTGGGGCTGGGATTCATATCGGGGTATGTGACTTGAGACTTGCACCTGTGGTCACAAGGCCCTGTTGTGGGATCCACAGCCTAGCTGGAGATATAGATGGGAGGTGTCCACACTTGCTCTTGTAAGAGGTCTGGGGAGGAGGGGCTGGTCTGGATGCAGATAGGTGTCAGATTGGTTGGCATTATCAATTTCTTAGGGATGCCGTAACAAATTACCCCACTGTGGGTGGTGTAAGAACAGAGGTTTATTCTCCCACAGTTTTGCGAGTCTGAAGTCTAATGTTAAGGTGTCATCTGCTCTCCGTCCGTCTGAAGGGGTCACTTGTCTGGGGTCGCATACCTCCAGTCTCTGCCTCTATCTTCACTTAGCTGGCATCTCTGTGTCTCAGAACTCTTTCTGCCATTCTCTTACCAAGAGACTTGTCGTTGAATATAGGGCTCACCTTAAACCCAGGATGATCTCATCTTGAGACTCTTAATTACATCTGCAATGATTCTTTTTCCAAATAAGTTCACAGATTTTGAGGGTTAGGATCTGGGCATATTTTGGTGGGGGCGGGGGTACTATTCAATCCACTACAGTTAGAAAGATGAAGGAGTTTCTGTCTGATGGATCCCTGTATTCTATGAAGTAGAGTATGAGTACTTTTCTGAGATTGAACTCAGAAGTAGAGGGGTCAAGTATCTGAGGAGTGAAGAAATCTGGGAGTGATTATTATCGAAATGTGGAGAGTCGACTGAATAGGAAACAATATGTTTGTGGAGCAGCATGAAGAATGCAGATAAAGTTTGTTATCATTAACTTATAGCTGTGTGATTTTCTCTAACAGCAATTTGCAGCTGGGTACACGCATGGAGAAAGCTGACAGATGAAATGACAGGAGTTACAGTCAAAACGGAGGGGCATGGATGGGGAAGCAGGACAGAGGAGGAGGTTTGGGGTACTGGCGGGGCAGTGGTGGGGGGAGTTCTGTCCGTAGGAGCAAAGCTGGGTGTGTATGGAAACAGGGTCCGAGGAGGACTGATGGATGGGTCAAAAAGCAGGCGAAACCCTGAGAGCAGTTCAGTGAACTCTCTGTGATACTACAAGGTTATTCTCAGAGTGTGGAGTGTTTGATAGTATTGTTTTACACGAGGAAAAGAATCTGGTTGCTGTAGAGGCAAAGGAAGGTTAATGGAAATGGACAAGTCAAGAGAGCAGGCAGGGATGGAACAAAACAGAAACAGATTCAAGGTTATAGAGAAGAGTGGTTACCAGGGAGAAAGGTGATAGAGGGGTAGGGGATTAAGGGGTACAAACTACTGTGTATAAAATAAATAAGTGTCAAGGACATGTTGTCCATCACGGGGAATATAGCCAATGTTTTATCATAAGTCTAAGTGAAATATAATCTATAAAAATACTGAATGATTATGTTGTACACCTGAAACTGATATAATGATGTAAATCAACTATACTTCAGTTATTTTTTTAAAAAAGAGAAGGCAAGGTTCAGGACAGGCCATCCATGTGAAGAGAGTCACACAGAAAAATGACAGGACCTGGGTGGCAAATGCTGCTGATGGTGTGATGTCTGAGCTGGGACTCAGTGGTTGGAAGAGGCTGTTGAGGTGGGTGTGGGTCCCTTGGAATGACACTGGGTGCTGCGTTAGTGAAGATTCTAAGAGAAACAGAACCAATAGAGAGAGAGAAAGTGTGTGTGTATCTGTGTGTGTGTTTACAGAGAGGGAGGGAGGGAGAGAGAGAGTTATTGATTGATGTATTATTAGGAACTTGCTTATGTGACTATGGAGGCTGAAAAATTCAGACCAAGGAGAGCAGATAGTATAGTTCCATTCTAAGGCAGGAGAAGACTGATGTTCTAGCTTGAAGACAATCAGGCAGAGAAGAATTGTTTCTTATCCTTTTATTCTACTCAGGTTGTTAACGGATTTGATGGAGCCATCAGATGCGGAGGGGCAATTTGCTTTACTCAGGCTACAGATTCAAATGTGAATCTCATCCAGAAATACCCTCACAGATACACCCAAAAATGATGTTGGACCAAAGATCTGAGCACTCCCTGCCCCACTCAAGTAGGTACATAAAATAAACCTCCACAAACACCTTGATTACATGAATAGTCCTACTCTACTGGTCTTAGTCTCCCTGATTTTAAATGAAGGGGTAAAGAAGATTATTGCTAAAGGTCCTTCTAATTTTAACTTTCATGTTTTGAAGTATAATTTCAAACCCTTAGGGTGGGAAGAAGGTGTTAGTTGCTCAGTTCTGTCCAACTCTTTGTGACTGCATGGACTGTAGCTCATCAGGCTCCTCTGTCCATGGAATTGTCCGGCAAGAACACTGGGGTAGGTAGCCATTCTCTTCTCCAGGAGATCTTTCTGACCCAGGAATTGAACTTGAGTCTCCTGCATTGTAGGCAGATTCTATACCATCTGAGCCTCCAGGGATATCCTGGTGGAAGGGTGGAAAGAAACATCATGTTAAAATTCTCCTTATTAAACATAACCCAGAAATGACTCCTGTGAATCCACAGATCTTAGAGACTAATGATTAGTCTCAAATTCTGGCTAATACTCACTATTTACCTGCTTTTAAAAAATATTTACTTATTCTTGGTTGCACTAGGTCTCCATTGCTGCGTGCGGGCTTTCTCCAGTTTCTGCAGGTGGGGGCTGCTCTTCATTGCAGTGTGCTGGCTTTTCGCTGCGGTGGCTTCTTTAGGTGGAGAACATAGGCTCTAGGTGCATGGGCTTCAGTAGTTGTGACTCTTAAGTTTAGTTGCTCCATGGCATGTGGGATTGAACCTGTGTCCCTGCATTGGCAGACAGATTCTTATCCACTGCGCCACCAGGGAAGTACTGTTGAGGTGGGTGTGGGTCCCTTGGAATGACACTGGGTGCTGCGTTAGTGAAGATTCTAAGAGAAACAGAACCAATAGAGAGAGAGAAAGTGTGTGTGTATCTGTGTGTGTGTTTACAGAGAGGGAGGGAGGGAGAGAGAGAGTTATTGATTGATGTATTATTAGGAACTTGCTTATGTGACTATGGAGGCTGAAAAATTCAGACCAAGGAGAGCAGATAGTATAGTTCCATTCTAAGGCAGGAGAAGACTGATGTTCTAGCTTGAAGACAATCAGGCAGAGAAGAATTGTTTCTTATCCTTTTATTCTACTCAGGTTGTTAACGGATTTGATGGAGCCATCAGATGCGGAGGGGCAATTTGCTTTACTCAGGCTACAGATTCAAATGTGAATCTCATCCAGAAATACCCTCACAGATACACCCAAAAATGATGTTGGACCAAAGATCTGAGCACTCCCTGCCCCACTCAAGCAGGTACATAAAATAAACCTCCACAAACACCTTGATTACATGAATAGTCCTACTCTACTGGTCTTAGTCTCCCTGATTTTAAATGAAGGGGTAAAGAAGATTATTGCTAAAGGTCCTTCTAATTTTAACTTTCATGTTTTGAAGTATAATTTCAAACCCTTAGGGTGGGAAGAAGGTGTTAGTTGCTCAGTTCTGTCCAACTCTTTGTGACTGCATGGACTGTAGCTCATCAGGCTCCTCTGTCCATGGAATTGTCCGGCAAGAACACTGGGGTAGGTAGCCATTCTCTTCTCCAGGAGATCTTTCTGACCCAGGAATTGAACTTGAGTCTCCTGCATTGTAGGCAGATTCTATACCATCTGAGCCTCCAGGGATATCCTGGTGGAAGGGTGGAAAGAAACATCATGTTAAAATTCTCCTTAATTAAACATAACCCAGAAATGACTCCTGTGAATCCACAGATCTTGGAGACTAATGATTAATCTCAAATTCTGGCTAATACTCACTATTTACCTGCTTTTAAAAAATATTTACTTATTCTTGGTTGCACTAGGTCTCCATTGCTGCGTGCGGGCTTTCTCCAGTTTCTGCAGGTGGGGGCTGCTCTTCATTGCAGTGTGCTGGCTTTTCGCTGCGGTGGCTTCTTTAGGTGGAGAACATAGGCTCTAGGTGCATGGGCTTCAGTAGTTGTGACTCTTAAGTTTAGTTGCTCCATGGCATGTGGGATTGAACCTGTGTCCCTGCATTGGCAGACAGATTCTTATCCACTGCGCCACCAGGGAAGTTCTCTTTTTTAACAACAACAACAACAACAAAAACATAAAAGTCTTAACAAAACTTTCAACAGCACAACCACAGAAACTTCTCCTTCTTTCCCCACAGAAACCATCAACACATGGTTCCAAAATCTCCCTGGGCAACAAGAACTAGTTCTGGCTTGTTCTCTGTCTTCTCTGAGTGTGGTTTAAGTGATACTGTGTCAGGACAGCCGTCATCTCAGGTGAGTCTCTCATTTAGGTCAATGTAGCAAACTTGCCTGCAAGCCATGAATTCCAAGTTGTTACCTTTGCTTGAAATCTGTGCATTTTATAGGTGGGCTGAATATTTCCATTGAAGTAGGTGTACCTTAAAGTAATAAATACAGTCCTTCCTGGAAGCATGGGTTGGGATGAGAGGACATTTTGAAGAGTAGCACATTTGCCTAGTTTGGGGTTAAGGAAAAAGAGAGTGGGAGTTCAGCCCTCAGTGCACATGCTTCTGCTGGAGGAGTTAGATAGAGAAGCATCTTCTCAGACTGGCACACTTTATCTTTACTCCACTTGGAATGCCCTTCCTCCATCTCCTCACTTGATGACTTGGAACAACCTCTGAAATGTCAGCCTCCCGTAGGCAGCTTTTCTTGGCTTCCCTTCCCACCCACTCTCATCTGGATCAGGTGCTCTACCTTTGTCTGCCTGTCGCCTCCCTGTGTGTATGTCTGTCATGGCATTCCCCGTGGCATATTTACTTGTCTTTTATTTCTGTCTCCCCGACACAATGGCTGACACATGAGGCAATAAATTCATTTATACTGAAGTCATTTAATTGTGCACTTTTGATGAATTTGTCATTATCTTGCTCCCTTTGCTATGTCTGGCAACTAGTTTATATCCATCACTATGCTAGCAACTAGGAGCATACAGATAAAATATAGGAGGTCCTGGCATTCATGAAGTGTGTATTCAGGTAGGAGAGACTGACAAAGAGGAATGCAGTAGAAGAAAAGTAAATAAGGTGGCCATGATTTGTAATTACTATGTCACAAAGGGAATACATAAGAGACAGACAGAGGCTGATGGGTGAAGGCACTCTGGGTAAAATGAGTAACAAGCCTCTCCCAGTTGGTGATGCAGGGTAGAAGTAGGGAGGCAAGTACTTCAGGCAGAGAAAACGGCAAGAGGAGGAGCTCAGTTAAATGTGGATGGAGTAGAGTGAGCCAGGCATCCTGGAAAGACATAGAAGTGGGATCACTCAGAGATGTTGCCGATAGTTAAGTGTTCGGAAGGGAGGACTCGGGAGACGAGTGAGGAAGTGCTACAGGATCATCATCCGTGAAGGGGATGGTCTTGGAGTCATGCAAGGGCAGTAAAGACAGAATGTAGGCTTGATATTATATGGTCATGTTTTTGATAATTTAGATGAGAATGATGAAGGAAAGAAAGGAATCAAGGATGTCTCTTACTGAAATAATGGATTGCTGTGTACCGATTTGGGAAGATTTGGAAGAAGGAGAAAGAAACAGCCTCAAGATCCTACTGTACAGCATAGGGAACTATATTAATATCCTGTGATAAACCATAATGGAAAGGAATATGAAAAAAAGAGTGTATATGTATGTATAACTGAATCATTTTGCTGTGTAGCAAAAATTAGCCCGACATTGTAAATTAGCCTATGGTCACCTAATCTATGACAAAGGAGGCAAGAATATACAATGTTGAAAAGACAGTCTCTTTAACAAGTGGTGCTGGAAAAACTGGACAGCTACATATAAAAGAATGAAATTAGAACTGTTTCTCATGGCAAGAAGCTAATTTCGCCAGTTCTTAAAGCGCCTTCCTGGTGGCTCAGTGGTAAAAAATCCGCTTATAATGCAGGAGATGCAGAAGACATGGGTTCGATCCCTGGGTTGGGAAGATCCCCAGGAGGAGGATATGGCAACCCACTCCAGTATTCTTGCCAGAAAAATCCCAGGGACAGAGGAGCCTGGTGGGCTACAATCCATGGGGTCACAAAGAGTCAGACACAACTGAAGCGACTAAGCACACAAGATACTCAACTGGAATTGGCAATATTTGATAGAAACCTGGAAGGTCACTGCTCTTTGGCTTTTTAACTCCTTTTTTGGCAGGGACAGACTCCTCTTCATCTATGTTTTTTCTTTTCTGAAATTAGTTTGTGTGGTAGTTTATAGTTTTTTGATGAAATTCAAAGTTCTGTGTCAGTCATTGCCCCTCAATCATGCTGCAGGGGTGAAGGCTGGCCAGGACACTGGCTGTGTGTGGTGGGAAGAGCTGATTGTCATGGTTCCTAGACGGGGCTTCTTAAAGGCTTGGAAGGAGACGGGCGTATAAGAAAGAGAAAGCATTTGTGCAGGAGAAGAGAAAAATGGAAATGATAAAAAGGAATGATTTCAGTTCTGCCATGTGCTGCAGAATCCTTAACATTCATATCTGCCTTCCACAGAACATCTAATAAAATTTGTGCCACTTGTCAAAGCTGACACTGCTGCTTCCTGGGCCCAGTGTGGAGTCACCACAGAGGCTACCCAAGGGGTAGCCCGTGCACATTTGGGTTACATTAATTTTTTATTGTGAAATAAATTATTCATAGCCAAGGATGTATATAGAATATATGAACAGTTTAAAATGTATAATTACAATCATAAAATAAGCACTCAAGTTCCAACTAGCCAACTTAAAAAGAGAACATTGCCAGTTTCTCTGAAGACGCTTGGGTGAACCTCCTCAACGGTGAGAGATTAGTCGCTTAGTCTACCCCGTAGACTAGCCTGCCAAGCTCCTCTGTCCGTGGGATTCTCCAGGCAAAAATACTGAAGTGGGTCACCACTCCTTCTCCAGGGGATCTTCCTGACCCAAGAATCGAACCCGGGTCTCTTGCATTGCATACAGATACTTTACTGACTGAGCTATGAGGGAAGCCTCAATGGTATCCTTCTCCTACTTCCAGAGGTAACAAATCACCACCTTAGTTTTCTTTATTGCTGAATAATAATATGTTGTGGTTGTTCAGTCGCTAAATTGTGTCCAACTCTTTGTGACCTCTTAGACTGCAGCACACTAGGCTCCCCTGTCTCACTGTTACTTGGAGTTTGCTCAAATTCATATCCATTGAATCAGTGATGCCATCCAACCATCTCATCCCTTGTCGTCCCCCAGCTTCATTTATTTTTAAACTATGTGGAAACATATTTTTAAACTATATGCTTTGGTTCCGTCATCATTATACGTTTTGAGATTCATCCATGTCCTTAGAGGTACAACAGTTTATTTATGTCCATAGATGTGTTGTGCTCCACGATATGGAAATACCATGATTTATTAATACACCCTGCCTTTGAGAACATGTGATTTGTTTCCAGGTTTTTCTGTTATGACCAGTACTGCTAGAATATTCTTATATCTCATGGTGCAAGAGTTTTCAGATCATATACTTAGGAATAAGATTGCAGAGTCATAGGCTATATCCCTAGTCGATCTCATCAGGGTATACTTTTTTGCTTCCCAAAGTGATTCTTATCAATTTTATGTTGTCTTTTCAACAAAAACAATAAGGATTATATCCAATATGAATAATAACAGATTTTGCAAACCTGGAGGCAATGTTATTAGTTGTTCCTCCCTGTAGAGATAGCCACGGTGCAGGAAATAGGTAGACAGGTGAAATGTTGGTGATACATGTTCCTTTGTTTCATTTCTTTCTTCCCTAACCTTCATTCTCAAATAGGAATATCTTTTAACATGTGGATGTAGTTAGGAGTCTCCTAGGAGGCTGAGAATGTCAGAAAGCAGGAGATTCAAAGTTTGAGGCAGAAAAAGAAGGGGACATTGCCCTGCACACATATTTGAGGATCTGGAATGTCCAACAAACAGTGAAGGGGTAGGAGTTGCTGTGCAAACATTTTTGTCAGAAATTTTGGCCCCAGAGTTGAAATGCTTTTTGCAGCTAGGAATTTCCATGGTCACTGTTGGATGCGTTAGTGAGAACTGCAAGTTTTTCTAACCTTTCATCCCCAAAGGATATGGAAATGCGAGTATCATCCTGCCTAAAATTCTGGTACCCTGACACTAAGGCCACTTTGTCCTGTGTTTCCTGAAGTAAGAGTACCTGGTACCCACACATCTTCATCTCTGCCTCCTCTTCCCTTCTAGGAGATCAGCCATTAGCCAATCACATTAGAAAAACAACCTTGAATCCAGATCCCTGAAAATTAGATATTGTCCCAACTTTAGAGATGAGAAAACTGAGGCTCAGAGAGGTGAGTAACCCAAGATTAGGTCACTCCTAAGTGGTAGGCTAGAAAGCTGAAGCCACACCGGTTTAACTGCATCTGTGTTTTTCCTTCCTGTTTTACCCTGTTCTTCTGTTCTCTGTCTTGTCCTTTATAACCATATGGTCCTGAACAAGTGTCTTCTGCTGTCGGAGCTTTAGGTCGAAAATTAGCAGTTCACATAGGTTTAATGAACATTTATTAAAAAATGAAAATCACCCTATGGACATCTCACATTCTAGTGAGAGCAATGTTCTGAGCTGGCAAAAGATCTTTCTCCCTCTATCTTAATACTGGTCTTGTTACTACTATTTTTATAAAGTGAAAGTGAAGTCCCTCAGTCGTGTCCGACTCTTCGAGACCCCATGGACTGTAGCCTACCAGGCTCCTCCGTCTATCGGATTTTCCGGGCAAGAGTACTGGAGTGGCTTGACATTACCTTCTCCAGGGGATCTTCCCAACCCAGGGATCGAACCTGGGTCTCCCGCGCTGTAGGCAGGAGCTTTACCGTCTGAGCCACAAGTGTCTTCTAAATCTACGCTTACAGCCTGTGGCTAAACATGTGAGTGTAGCCTGCTCCTCAGCTGGTGTGTGCCCACAGTTGGGTAGGTCTTGACTGTAAAACTTGCTCCAGTGTGTTCTTGGTTGTCTGTTATTTTGATTTCATCCTATTTTGCCAACCAAGAGCATGTTTCCTCTCATAAAGGTGAGTTTTTTGTGGAGGCCTTTTTCAGATCTGCTGTTACAAATGCACACACACCTTAGCGCTGGTATCTGTCTCAGGAAAGCAGTCAGGCTTGGCAGCACAACGGGTACACCCATCAGTACCCACGGGAAACTGCTATTACAGCCTCCCAGGTTCATGACTTCTCCAGTGACACCTCTCCCTGCTAACAGGGGGTCAGAAACAGAGACAGGAGGTGTAATTCAAATGTGGGAAAGATTCAAATCAGCCTGTCTCTTGGTGTGGCTCGGGGAAACCCAGTCCCTGCCACCTAGGAGGCTAACTGATTAGACCTTTCTCCTCTGGGACAGCCACCTTGCTGCCTTGCATGCTGGTCCACCTCACCTGTTTCTCTCTTACTTTCCTGGTTGGAGAGAAGGATGCTGGTTCTCCAGGGTAGCCCTCATCCCCTAGGAATGTGAAGACCATGATCTGAGGAGCTGTTCTCTATGACCCCAGCCTGTGTGCATATGTGTGTGTTTGCGCTTAGCTGTGCTCACCGCTTTGCAGCCCCATGGACTGTAGCCTGCTAGGCTCCTCTGTCCATGAAATTTTCCAGGCAGGAATGCTGGAATGGGTTTCCACTTCCTACTCCAGGGGATCTTCCTGACCCAGGATTGAACTGGCATCTCTTGGGTCCCTTGCATTGGCAGGTAGATTCTTTACCACTGTATTATCTGGGAAGCCCCCTTTATGGCCCTAAATACTCCCGAAAACAATTAATTGAGATTAAAAGAAGTTCTAAACTCTTCTAATAATGCACGTGAAGAACAATATTAGGGATCTCAGGTTCTGATTCCTTTTTGCAGTTGGTTGCCCTGTAATCCTGTGTCCTCTATTTGAAAACTGGGTAGAGAATCTCAAAAAATCATCAAGGTTACTGAGAATAGCAATGGATGAGAGACTAGAAGTTTCTCATAGTCTAGAACAGTAGCTAGCAAACTTTTTCTGTAAGTCAGATAATAACTATTTTAAGTTTTATGGTCCATTCTGTCTCTGTGGAATATGAAGCTCTGTGTGAATTTACAATCTTTAAATGCATAAACACCATTCTTGGCTCAGTAGCCTTACAAAAATGGACCACAGGCTGGATTTGGCCTGTAGTTTGCTAACTGCAATCCTATAAACTCATCTGCAATTTTAGAGCAGCTGGATATTAGAGAAAAATCCTCTAGAGACTTAATATGGTATATTTTGAGAGGAAGCAATGAGCAGAAATATCAGGCTCAAGCATGAGTAATTAGAAAATAATCTGGAGAACAAAATGGACAAAGGAGAGTAAAGGTAAGGAAGAACAGAGATTGTGAGGCAATTATTTAAAGGAATTAGGGATGTGGAAAAGAGGCAAGGGCAGGGGATGAGGATTGAATGGAGTATCTTGAACAAAGTAGAGAGTCTGGGAAAATGGTGTAAATGAGGCAGATTTTCTCCTAAGCATGTGCATGCATGTATGCATGCTCAGTCACTTCAGTCGTGTCTGACTCTTTGTGACCCTACAGACTGTAGCCTCCCAGGCTCCTCCATTCATGGGGTTCTCCAGGCAAGAATATTGGGGTCGGTTGCCATGTCCTTCTCCAGGGGATCTTCTCAACCCAGGGATCAAACCTGCGTCTCCTGCATCTCCTACATTGCGGGTGGATTCTTTACTGCTGAGTCACCGGGGAAGCCCCTCCTAAACATAGTTACTGGCAAATACACACAAGTCCTGCTGTGTAGCAGACTGGATTTGCATAGGGATATGAGGAGGAATTTACTCCTGTCTGTGGCTTTTCACTACATGCATGCGTGCTCAGTCACTTCAGCCATGTCTGACTGTTTGTGATCCTATGGTCTGTAGCTCACCAGACTCCTCTGTCCTTGGGATTCTCCAGGCAAGGGTATTGGGTGGGTTGCCATTTCCTCCTCCAAGAGATCTTCTCAGCCCAGGGATTGAACCTGCATCCCCTGCATCTCCTGCATTTCAGGCAGATTCTTTCCCGTGAGCCCCCAGGGAAGCCTGGCTTATCACTTCGGTCCTCTTTTAACTGTGTCAGGTCACAGGTCTTCACTTGCTTTCCTGCCACCATCCAACACTGTTAGTTTAGTGCTTGTTCAATCAGCTTTCATGATTGAAAAATAAAAAGGAGGGAAAGAGTGCATTACTTCCCTGGGCGTAGGTTGGCAAGGGTGACTGGGAAGAATGCAATATTGTGGAATATTTTCTGTGGATTGAGAAGTAAGTGCAATAACATCAATCATGGCACTTTAACCAAAATACAAACATGTTTTCTCACAGATAATTGACCACGAGAGGAAACTCAAGATGGACAAAGAGGACAATTGGAATATTAATGAAGAGGTAATACATGTCAAAGAGAAAATAAGAAAATGGATTTCAACTGTATGACTGGGTTGAAAAGCAGGTAAACAGGCCAATTTATGCTGGGAGATAATTTGAAAGGCTGAGATCTTTTAATACCCAAGAAATATTGAACATCACAATATTTGCACAATATATTGACCATCTGAAACAGGCCCATTTTCTCAGAATGATGGAAGAGCCCTGAACTAGGAATCAGAACGTCTTGGGTTTAGCTTTTAGTCTGCTCGGTAATTTGAAATCCGTGTAATCTGTGTGATTGAGCTTTTCCAAGTCTCATTTCCTCATCAGTAAAATGGAGATGGTATGTTTTTCTTTTTCCATACTGTTATTTTGATTTATACATGCATATTAAATGGCTTTGTAAAGCATTGGTAACTATGATAATGATGGAGATTTTATTAGTTTTAGTATTTTATTATTATTTATTACTATTTTATTAATGAGTTGGCTTCACTAATAGAGCAGGCTGGGTATTATGATTAGGGGCTTCCAAAAGACTAGCTGCCTGTCAAATTTTGCATAAATTGAACTGTAATAGTATGATTAAATCATTTCATGAGGTCCAAAGTTTCTACAGTCCTTAGGTTATGAAAATAAGAAATATTAAAAAATACAATTACATTAAAGATGAAATTTAATTCAATTGTGTCCCTCTCAGCACTTGATTAGCCGGCCATCCTAGCAATATCTTGAGAGAATGGAGCCGAAGAGAGAATTGCCGAAGAGCTTTGGGTCACCATAAAAGTACTGAATGAATGCGTCTGAACATCAGAGGTGGGCAGGGCATTAAGGAAGAGAGGGGTGGTCTTTTGCAATTGTCTTCACAATTTTGACTCAGGATAGTTAGTTCTGCCCATATCTAGGGGTTTTGACAGAGGGCAGCCTGTGATCTTTTTTCCTTTGAATTCCTTCCCAGTGCCCTCTTTTCCCCTAAACAAGTATTCTCAATACAGGATCCTGACTAACCCTCCTAGAGTTCTTATGGCATAGATAGCTAATGTCCCACAGAGAATGCATGCTTCTGTTCCAGGAGCCTTATATCTTACAACCTGTATTCTAGGAGTCTTCCAGGAGACTTGCCAAGCTGCCTGTGTCTAGGTGGGGCTGGGTGCCAACGCCAGGTTGTATGGATGTGATGTGTGTCACGTAGAGGCTGAGCTAGTTAAGAAGCAAGTGCTTTCTCCACTCTCTTTTTTACTTGTCTGCTTACTGAAAATTGATACCAGTGGTAATACTGGAAATCAAGTCTCAAGGATGGAACTGCCACTCAGATGGAAGGAAACTGGGCATCTGAGTCACTACTTGGAGAGCTGCCCTATCAGGAATACCTACATCATACTGGAATATGAGCAAATAATCCACTGGCACTTTTGGGTTTTCTGGTATCACCTGGATTAATACAGCCATTGACATAGTAAACCTTCCCAGACTATTCCTTTCTCTACAAATTGCGATCAGCTAGCCTTTTCTCTTGGTATTTAGCCCTTTCCCTTTCTTCCCTAGGTCCTTTCTACCCTTCCTGCTGAAAGTTTGTTGCTGAGCCGTGAAAGACACTGGGATTCTTGGCCTCCAGAGGAGAGGAATTCAATCCGGAGCCAGTGGCAAGGCTTTGATCACTCAGAGCTTTTGTGTGATAAAGTTTTATTAAAGTATAGAAGATATAGACAAAGCTTCTGACATAGACACCAGAAGGGGGCAGAAAGAGTGCCCACCTGCTAGCCTTTAGCAGTATGTCATATACCTATCAGCAAAGGAAATGTCTCAAAACTCAGAGTGGCACCAGGCCCCTCACCCACAACATGCATTTTGAGATAACATTGGCACAAGGTGAGTCATCCCGGGCCATAAAACGATTGACATGAATCTTGAAGAAAGGCAGGTTTCCAAGTAAGTGTATAGTTTCATAAAGAAACAGTGTAGGAGAACAATGTATGAGTGAAACATAACTGGTTTGTTGAGCCCTTATCGGTCCTGAGTCTTAAGCGAAACCGACTTGAAGAAAGACGGAGTTTAGGGTAACTACATAGTTTATTAACATAGCTTAAGAAAACATTTCCATAAGAGAAATGCATTGGTTAGCTCAAGGTTTGAGAAAAGTTAAGTTCAGGTGGAACCAGGTGTCATCATGGCAACACAAAATTTTAAAAGAAACCTTTTAATTTTGTATAGAGAAGGAAAAACATCTGACACTTGTAGTTTGTTTTCTCCTGCCGCTTAAGGGAGAGATAAAAAGTGTCTGATGCTTGCAGCCTATTTCCTTCATTTGGAGACCTCAGGCCTTCTTGCCTGATACCCTCTCACTACCATCATCTTCAGATGAATAATGACATTAGCAAAGGCCAAGAACAGAACAGTGGTTATTTCATTCATGCATACATTCATTGATTCATTTGTTTGTTTTTTCTCTGCCTGACTCAAATGCATGGTAGTAGCCCAGATGTTGGATAGGAGCCAAGAACAGATGTTTGCAGGCTATTACCCTAAACTCTTGTATTGGATATAAAAAAGGCATAAACAGTAAAGACCATAAGTTTCGATGGCATGACTTTAAATTGGGAGTCTAGAGGAAGTGTGCTTTCTCACCAGTTTACATCCATGCGATTTGTTTCATTTTTATTTCTTACTTCTCATGTGACAGAGTGCACTTGAGATGTAAGATTCACCAGTGGTGCAGCCTGTGGTCGCTATAGGGTTTATAAAGCCAGCATAGGGAGATCAGAGAGTTGTTTAAAACCTGAAGCCATGTTGCGAGCCTGGAACCCAAGTTTAAATACTTGGATATAAGAGAAACTGAGAGCCCATGTGTTGAAGGAAGATAAAGTTACACATGCAGAGCAAGTAAACGGAAACCTAGAAAACAGACACAAAAAAGGAGGTTACAAAATCACACTGAACTCGTGTCTGAGATCTCATAATTTTCCCACTTATACAGATTGTGCTCCCGGGTATACTTGCGATTTGATCAAGTACAATCTATACTTCAAACAGTTGTCCTAACCTGTTATTTTAGTAATGATGTTGGGTATAACTGTGGTTTCTAAACAAGAAAATTATTCCACGGTCACTTAGGGATTAAGTGGCTTAACTGGAATGAAACCATGATTGCAGGGCTCACTTTATAGTTTCTGTCACCAGTTTATACGGCCAGTATAGAATCTCACTGGCCTTGAATAATCCTTTAACTTTCCAAGAGCCAAATACCTGGCTTTGGAGGAAGAGATTCTTCTTATGTGCTGGAGTTTGGACCAGGCTCTGTTGTTTGAATCCTGACTCTGCCACTCACTATGTCTATGACTCAGTGAGTTACAGAAACCTCTCTTTGCCTCATTTCACTCATTAGTAAAATGAGGATAATCATATGACCTACCACTGGTTGTCAGAGGGATTAAATGGACCAAGAGGAGTAAATCATTAGAACAGTGTCTGCTAAATAGGCATCAGTTTTTGCTATTGTTTTTCTGTTGTGGGTTAAGTGCATTTCCTCCTGTTTGAGGTTTTGTTGAACTGGAATGCAGCTTATTCTGCCTGCAGATGTGAAGGTCCTGACTCAGGTTCTCTCAGCCTTATTTGGAGGATCCTCATAACACTAGTGTCCTTTTCCTTCCAAGTCAGAGCTCATTCCAGTCTTCTCTTTTTCTTTTTCTGATTGTGCTGGGTCTTTGTTGTGTGCATGCCTTCCCTAGTTGCGGTGTGCAGGCTTTTCATCATGGTGGCTTCTCTTGCTGCGAAGCACAGGTCCTAGGCACACGTGCTTCAGGAGTTGCAGCATGCGGGCTCAGTAGTTGGGGCTCTCTGGCTCCAGGGTGCACCTTCTCTCTAGAGCTGTCGCTTTCTCCCTTCATCTTTTCCCCACTGATTCTCTCTGTCGTCCCTGTGGTCGTGTCCTCTTCCCTGGCAACTCTACCCGTGGCAGCCCTGTCTTTCAGATCTGGCTCAAGAGTTCTGATGACGAAGGGTTTTCTTTTACATTGGTGTATGGGTACTAAATCTGGAGGAGGACTTGGCAACCCACTCCAGTATTCTTGCCTGGAGAATCCCAATGGACAGAGGAGCCTGGTGGGCTACAGTCCATGGGGTCACAAAGAGTTGGACATGACTAAGCAACTAAGCACAGGATATGGGTGCTAACTACCTAACGTTTTTCAATGCTAGCTTCGTGGCAGGAGAGGACACTTTAGTTCGGGATTAAAAGACTGGCCAATAGCTGTGATAATGACGCAGGTGATCAGAAAGACAGAGAGAGATGGCAGATCAAGATGCTCCAGGATCCTTGTGCAAGACAAGTCATGTGTATCTTGTCTTCTCAACTAAAACCTGTAACCAGTTGACCAAATTGCATGTCTAATAGATCACATATAACTATACACCAAAAAGAAATATTTCAAATGTCTTTTGCACACAGGACTCTGGCTCACAGAGTCCATCTTTTGGTGACAGGTTTTCTAAGGACAAAAATAACTCAAATGAATCCTAAATTTCACTCAGACTTTTTATTGTTGATGTTGTAATTTTGAAATTATCATATGTGTGTCATAGAATAAAGGAAATAAGCAGGGAATTCCCTGGCAGTCCAGTAGTTAGGACTGTGTACTTTCACTGACGAGAGCCTGATTTGATCCCATCCCTGGTTGGAGAACTAAAATCCCACAAGCTGTGTGGTATGGCCAAGAAAAAAAGAAAGCAAATAAACGAAACTGTTGATGATATTGGGATCCAAGGTTTTCAGTGTCTGAGAAAAGACAAAATATAGAAACAAAGAAGGTAATGGAGAAAACTCTATAATATCTAATCTAAGTTGGAAATATCAATAAGAGCACAAGGTTATACATGATTTATACATAGTCTATATAAAATATAGCATGTGTTGTATACAATATAATCTGTGTGAAATTAAAAGACGCTTGCTCCTTAGAAGAAAAGCTATGATAAACCTAGGCAGTGTATGAAAAAGCAAAGACATCACTTTGGTGCTTTTTTAAAAAAAATTTATTTATTTATTCATTTTAACTTTAAAAAATTGTATTGGTTTTGCCATAAGTTGACTTGAATCCTCCATGAGTATACATGTGTTCCCCATCCTGACCCCCCCTCCCACCTCCCTCCCCATCCCATCCCTCTGGGTCATTCCAGTGCACCAGACCTGAGCACCCTGTCTCATGCATCGAACCTGGACTGGTGATTCATTTCATATATCATATTTTACATGTTTCAATGCCATTCTCCCATATCATCTCACCCTCACACTCTCCCAGAATCCAAAAGACTGTTCAATACATCTGTGTCTTTTTTGCTGTCTCATATATAGCGTTACCATTACCTTCTTTCTAAATTCCACATATATACGTTAGTATACTGTATTGGTCTTTATCTTTCTGGCTTACTTCACTCTGTATAATGGGCTCCAATTTCATCCATCNTGAATATTCACTGGAAGGGCTGATGCTGAAGCTCCAACACTTTGGTCACCTGATACGAAGAGCCAACTCATTGGAAAAGACCCTGATGCTGAGAAAAATTGAGGGCATGAGGAGAAGGGGATGACAGAGGATGAGATGGTTGGATGGCATCTCAGTGGACATGAGTTTGAGAAAACTCCAGGAGATACTGAAGGACAGGGGAGCCTGGCATGCCGCAGTCCTTGGGTTGCAAAGAATTGGACTCGATTGAGGGACTGAACAATAACAACAGTGATTTATATTTACCTGTGTGTAATCTATAAGTCTATTATATATCTATGTCTATA